AGAGTCTCGATAGTTTAGGAGGCCCCTTCAGGGGCACTAGGTATGTTTGTTATTCTACACGAAAAGGCACCATTAGTTTTATACTTTCAGTTGTTGCAAGCCCAAAAACACAGTTTATATCTACCATTAACACAAAAAATAGTAGCTTTATACAAAAACCAATTTCTTCAGTCCTACGAAACACATTCATATTTGATCCCTCAAATGGGATCTCTTCTGTACTCATATTATACACATGACCTTGATGGAGAATAGTATTAAGAATAAACAACTATGGTTGTATTTCACAATAAGGGCAGCAAGATATGGGAAAAAGGAGTGCCGTCACTTGGGCACTTGGTTCTGTGGCATATGACCTTGTGATTTTGTTTGCGAGGCTCTGGACATCTCGCGCAGGCGTCTAGCAATCTCAGTGAATGATGGGCGAGTCACAGGATCAGGAGCCCAACACTGCTCCATCAATAATCTCCACTCAGGGTCACAGTAATTTGAAAGAGGTGGCCTTAGTGTGTTGCTGACAATGCCCCCTGCATGCAAGAGAGATCTAAGATCATCAAACTAGAAGAGCATCACTTGGAAAAGACAATAATTTATGTCAAAAAGTGTTGAGATTATATTGAACTAATGAAGGATGTGCCTAAATTTAAGTATAACGGGTTTCTTCTCTTTTTGAAATATAGAACAACTCGTGCAAGCACCTAGACTCTAGGGTGTTTAAATACTGAAGGTGCCTTTGATGGAACTTAATATTGGAAGTTGTCCCAATTACTGAAATATAGAAACCTAACATGCTGGGAAGTCAGCACCGCATGAGAGAAAACATTTTGATATGGTGAAAATAGTGCAGAGAGAGCGAGGGGATGGAGGAGAGAAGTGAGGGTACAGGAAGAGTGTGAGAAAGATATTATACACACCTATTATTGCGCCATAATGCATATTAGCATAAGGCTCCTCGCCAGTGAGAATCTCCCATAGAACAATACCAAAAGAAAACACATCCACCTTCCAAGGAATAAACCAGGTTAGTAATATTTGCATAAACAAATTGCCGGTGATTGACAAAAAGAAATTGTAGAAAACAAAAGATTCAGCCAACAAGACTCATTTAATTATGCAAACTACAAAGACCAGTTAGCTTGATTGAAACCAGCTTATGTACACAGAATCCCTGGGCTTTAGTGAGAAATAAGAACAACATCATACCAACCTCCATTGCTTAAAGCCAATTTTCACATTAGACCTACAGCCTCTGCAAGTGATCAAAAGTCCAAACATACCTTCTCAGAAACCTTACTACTGCCACCATTCAAGAGTTCTGGAGCCATCCATGGGAGAGTTCCCCTCACACCACCAGTGACCAATGTATTTCTTTTTATTTTCGATAATCCAAAATCAGCAACCTGGATGACAGTATTATTGGTTTGAATTTGATAAAGCAAAAATGATTGAAAGATATAACAGTGACACACATCAGAAGCTTAATATTATGGACTTCATAAAATAAGAAATCATAATAAAAATCAGAGAATGTTAATTTACCTTGCAAATTGGCCGTGCAGGGTCCTTCAAGTTGACAAGCAAGTTGTCACATTTCAAATCAAAATGCACAATATTCTTTGAATGCAAATATTCCATTCCAAATGCTGCATCCATAGCGATAATGAGCCGCTTACGACGATCAAGATGCCTGGACATTAACAAAACTTATGTGGTAAGCACACAAATACATATCAATATATGTTAATGGGAATTCTCTTACATGAAGAAAGTAGAACATTTTATTGATGATTAAGTGTATAAATAGAATATTACTTGTCCTTGCTGAGCAAAACATGTCTAAGAGAGCCATTAACCATGTATTCCGCGACAGTGGCAAGTGTTCCACCTGGTCCATCCTGCACTACGCCATAAAATGCCACCACATTGGGATGATGAAGCTTTGAAAGGATTTCCGCTTCACGCCAGAACTCCACAGTCTGAACAAGAATAACTATTAATAATGAAATTATGGAAACCTAAAAGGAAAAACAATTTTAATTTAGGACCACATAAAATTCCATCCAGGCACCAATCCATGCATAGAACCAACAGAATAGCTGAGGCAGTGGCAAAAGAGATCATCCAAGCTAACAGGGAAAACAATCTCACCATTAGGAATTATAATAATTAAGCCTGGCTAGTCTCTAAGTTCAAATCTTGTAGGAAAAAATGCCATGTCAACTAAGAGGCCCAGCTTTGCTTTGCACAAACAACTGATTCTTAATGTGCTAGAGTAATCAAAACATAAAAAGACAGAAAAAGCAAAGAAGGAAACATTTGCATGAAAGAGAACTCACCAATCTTTCTTGCTCTGATGAACGACCAGTGAAACAACTCTTTTTTATTCTCTTAATAGCAACATCAGTCCCTTTCCATTTCCCATGGTAGACAGTCCCAAATGTACCAGAACCTAATTCCCTGAGCTCTTCTAGATCTTCGTTCTTTATTATCTGCAATGCACTCAATGAAATACTCAGAGGCATTAGAGATTAACCCTTAAACCTAAAGAACATTAACTCTTTCATCTCAAGACAATAATCAGAAAATGAATAGCAAAAAGATTCATTTTGAAGCACTATAGGTGGCTCTCATTGCTCCACCGATAATCTTCATTAGCTTTTGCCATATAGCATATCTGTGATAAAACTAAACAGCAATAAAAGTAAACCAGAAATAATATACCTGCAAGGTACTGATGTCAAAATCTCCCAACAGAAGATCCGGAAGAGTTGCACCAGCATTTTGGGTATTCAAGTTCCCATCCTAATGGTAAATTTCTAAAAATTAGAAGCAACAACACTAGAAAGCCAATTTGTTGTCAAACGCAACAGTATTAATAGAAAGCAAGCTAATATACATTACCTCATACTCTGATTCCAGTACTTTAGAGTTCACCCTGTCTACCTGTGCACTTTCATCACCCTTCCGCTGAGACTGACTGTAATCTGGATTTAAACCCATGGTGTTGGCTACAGTGACACCAGCAGATTCCTGCCTCACATCCTCTTCAAAATTTATATGTGAGTCACTATGACCTAAGACAACTCCACCAGAGTTCAAAGGTGGATAGCTATAATCAATGGGAGCCCTATCTTCAACATTTGCTAGTGGGGATGAGAAACCCAGATGATCCTGATCCATTAGGGAAACATCCTTTCTTACAAACTCATCTTGAGCCAACTTACGGAAGTATGACCAATGTTTAGGTTCATGATTCTCCATGTTTACACTCAATCCATTTCCATCACCATGGAAAGGACTGATACCAGAGAGGTTCTGAGACATTCTTACTTGTAAGGATATCTCAGACAAAACATGCCGAGGGAAACGGTCATTGATGTCAATAACTATGTTTCCCAGCTCTGGGGTGCGAACAGGAACAGCAGACTCTCCAGGGGACACAGCTTGAACTGGGTTCTCAGTCCATGACAAAGGCTGTTCATGCCCCTTGGCATTATGCCCATCATTCTTGTTGTCATCCATCTTAACCCAGTCAAATTCTGATTGCCTCAAAGAAGGATCCTCAAGGTGCTTGATAGAAGTCCCTTCACCAGCTGTCAGAGGATTTAACCCAGCTGCCTCTTTATCAGAAGAACAATCACCATAGTTTCCTTTGTCCCATCCCTTTTCATGGCCAGCCATGGAATTAACTGCTACATGATTTAGTTCAGATTTCAAATTCGACTCAAGCCCTTCCTCAGGAACAGGATTCACTTTACTGATTTCAGAAAAGTCTCTATATTTTTCAAATTGTGCCAGTCTATCTATAACCATCTGAGGATTAGCAGAAATTGGTTTCACGGGAGTGATGGACTGCTCAACTTCAGAAGCCATATTACTATCATAAACTTTGTCAACTGATTCTGTGATTGATTGAGAACAATCAGTTTGAGTCATTAGAAACTGAGGACCAAAGGAATCATCAGACTTTGACAAACGATTCATTTCTGCCTGCTCCCTGGGGATTCTCTCTGAATGAAAAACCCTTTGAGGAACCACAGACGGCTCAAGGTAGGTACAGTCAGTGGGATCGGCCTGAGAACCAGCACCTCCAGATGTAAAAGCTCTACTGGGTGTATAAAAGAGATCGTCTTCATTGTTCTTTCTTCCTTCACTTTTGACCTCTGGGATTGCTGGATTCTGTAAAGGTTCTTGGGGTTTCCTTAAGCTTTTTGTAGGCAACATAGTTGAGCTAACATCAGATGCTGAATTGGGAACTAATGCTTCTTCCCTAGAAATATAATTTGACACAGAACCATTACATACATGTGAAGGAACAGCATACTCTGCTTCTGACATACAAATTCTATCAGTCTCATTAATCTTTGGCATTGACGCATCTCTTTTTATCTTTACAATTGGAGGCTTATCCAGGGATCGAACCTTTTCAGGCTCATTTATTTTGGGGGCTGAGCTATCTCTTTTTAGTTTCACCTCCTTTACTTTGACTTCTGCATCTTGCCCATGGAGGGGATATGAGACTAAAGTTTCTCCAGATGTAACATGGTTAGAAAGCTGAGAACCATGACCATATTGCAATGGAGCAGACATTAGAATGTTGCTTTTCCCATCTACCTGGGTAGCAGATGCCAGTTTCTGGCCAGCTTCTCCATAATGCAGCCTCGGTTCAATGTATGCCTGCGAACTAGATTCACAAGCACTAGATGAACTTGCCAAAAATGGTTGAGAAGATTGAATAATTGGTGACAGTGTGTTAGCTAACAAAGCTGCAGTACTAGCACCAGTTGTTTCAGCACCAGCTCGATCTGCCTCCCTTTCAACATTTAAACTGAATAACTCATCCAAATTTTCCAGATTGACTGAGTTTCCTCTAGAGTCTAGGTCCATACCATTCACAGCAAGTACATACTGTAACTCTGAATCACCCTCCATATCTGACAAAACATATTGAGCATCCTCTAAATCACTACTAGAAAACAAGAAGATCCTGGGTTTTAGTGATCCTCCATTATCTGGTACACTGCATTCCTCCATCATGTTTTGCAGATCCTCATCAGAAGATACAGAAACCAAAGCATCAAGATCTTCACCAGGGAGCTGATACTTTATTGTATGAGCTTGGTCACAAATTGCCAATGCTTTTTGAACAAGCTCTTGCCAAGAAATATCCCTGCTTATCCGAATTATATGTGTTTCACCTCCAACATATCTAAGTTTCCCATCCCTAGGTCGGTGCAAAATTTTACCCCCAAAGCTGCAGAGAAATTTTACTGAGGTTGATGAGCTAAAAGCAGCCCCTGAAGAGGCATAACCCTGATGTCCCTGACCAATGTCATTTCTTGAAGAGCTTCTAGGTACAGGTCGTGTGGATTCATGTGCAGAAGGTACAGGTCGTGTGGATTCATGTGCAGAAGGTACAGGTCGTGTGGATTCATGTGCAGAAGGTATAGGTCGTGCAGATTCATATGCAGAAGGCACGGGGCACATGGATTCATGTGCAGAAGGAGCCTTCTTCTCAAACTCCTGGGCACAGCCTCTTTCAAGTGTGTTGACCATAGAGATATCAGATCCACTCTCAGAACATGTATGA